GTGCTTCTATCGTCGCTTCCATCGTCGCGACGGCCAGGACATGCAACCTTGACAAGGACATTGAGGACCTGCCTTCCGAGGAGGACGATATGAAGGCCTTGTCTATCGAGTCCCGCGACTTGGTCGTCGGCAAGGTGTACCGCCGCCTGATGGAGATCGAATCGCGCGCGCTGCCGATGGGGCTGCACCGCATCGGCGTGCCGCCCACCGCAGAGGAGAGCGTGGCAACCCTCGTGAACATTGCACAGCTGGACCGCCCGGACAGCAACCCACCGGTCAAGAGCTTGCCGCGCATTCTCGCCGAGTCCGTGGGCATGGACGTCGAGACGGTCTACCGGAACTCCGACTCTGGCGTCTTCGAGGACGTCACCAGGCTGCAGCAGATCGTCGAGGCGAGCCGGGCTGCGGTACGGTCGCTGGTCAGAGAGTCAACCAATTCGGAGGGCCGCGTGGAGAAGCCCAACCCCATACTGCGCGACGTCTTCAATTTCTTCGGAGGTGGTTCTCCATGGAAGAAGGCGGCGGCCGAGGCGGGCTTCCCCGATGCCCGCGAGGAGGACCTGAAGCCGCTCTTCGAGTATCTGCAGGCGTGCTTGGTTCAGGTGGTCTGCAACAACGAGCTGCCTGGCCTCCTCAACGGCCTCGACGGCAAGTTCATCGAGCCCGGCCCTGGCGGCGACCCCATCAGGAACCCGGACGTGCTGCCCACCGGCAAGAACATGCACGCGCTGGACCCCCAGTCGATCCCCACCAAGGCGGCTGCGGACGTGGGCCTGGTCGTGGTGAATCGCCTGCTCGAGGGGCTCGAGAAGCAGGGCCAGTTCCCCGAGTCCATCGCCTTCACGCTGTGGGGCACCGACAACATCAAGACGTACGGCGAGAGCCTCGCGCAGGTGCTGGCGCTGGTCGGTACCAGGCCGGTGCCCGACAGCCTGGGTCGCGTGAACAAGGTGGAGCTCATCCCGCTCGAAGAGCTGGGCCGCCCTCGCATCGACGTGGTGTGCAACTGCTCGGGGGTCTTCCGAGACCTCTTCATCAACCAGATGAACCTGCTGGACCGCGCTATCAAGATGGCGGCCGAGGCCGACGAGCCCATCGAGCAGAACTTCGTGCGCAAGCACGCGCTGGAGCAGGCAGAGGAGCTGGGCATCTCGCTGCGCCAGGCCGCCACCCGCGTCTTCTCCAACGCGGCCGGCTCCTACTCGGCGAACGTGGGCATTGCTGTGGAGAACGGCGGCAACATCGACGAGTCGCAGCTCCAGGAACAGTTCCTGACCCGGAAGGGTTTCGCCCTCAGCGCCGACGCACCGGGGGAGTTGACGGAGTCCACGGAGCTGTTCAAGTCCTCCCTGAAGAGGGTTGACATCACTTTCCAGAACTTGGACAGCAGCGAGATCTCTCTGACGGACGTGTCCCATTACTTCGACAACGATCCGACCAAGGTGGTCCAGAACCTCCGTGACGATGGCAAGAAGCCGGGCGCTTTCATCGCTGACACCACCACTGCCAACTCGCAGGTGCGCTCGCTGTCCGCGCAGGTGCGCCTGGACTCGCGCACGAAGCTGCTGAATCCGAAGTTCTACGAGGCGGCCCTCAAGAGCGGGTACGAAGGCGTGCGGGAGATTACCAAGCGTCTGCGCTACACGTACGGCTGGAGCACCACTGCGGGCGCCGTGGACAATTTCGTGTACGAGGACGCCAACGAGACCTACATCACAGACGAGAGCATTCGGCAGCGGATGATGGACAAGAATCCGGAGGCACTGCGCGAGATGATCACCACCTTCCTGGAGGCGAACCAGAAGGGGTACTGGGAGACCAGCGAGGAGAACCTGGAGCGCCTGCAGCAGGTGTACCAGGAGTGCGAGGACAAGATCGAGGGCGTCGACTTCACCATGCCTGCATGAGCTCCCGCGGCGCCGCGGTGACTCCCCAGAGCGCCCGGCCTGCCCGTGCTGCTCACCATCGCCAGCACGTGTCTGGCCCACCTCCTAGTGGAAGACGCGGGCGACGCGGACCGTCGCGCAGCGTCGTCAAGGTTGTGAGTGGCCTCGCTCGTTGGGAGGCCAGCCGCTGCAGGACGCCCGCGCCCGCTGACGCCCCTGGGGTGGATGCAATTTTAAATGCAGTTTGCTCTTCTCATAGGAGGGCCAGTCGAGACAACGGTAGTTCGCCTTCGCGGGGCCCCTTCGTCGCCAGGGCTGGACGCAGCTCGGAAAATTGGTGCGTTTGCACCCCAGGAGGGGTCCGGGCATCGATTCTGATTTGCCGTTATCTCAGCTCGCCCTTTTCCGATCTTCTGCCTTCCGCAGACCCAGGTAGGTTCCGGAGGCAGCTGCGCAACGAGATTTTAGCTCGCCCCCGCTCTACACGGCCCGGGATGCTCTCGAGCTCCTGGGCTTAGCAGGGGTCCCGGGCGGAGCCCGGGATGCTCTCCGCGACCGGCATTCCGCTCCTACGCGATGCAGTGTAGATGTTGCCTCGTGTCCATTACACATGGCCTCTCGTTTGCACTCAAGCTCTGGCTCGTTTTTTTATGACCATGGCCACGTGGCTGTGGCGGCGAAGCACAGCGAACGCCGCCGTGGCGGCGCATGAAGGAGTCAGGAAAGGCAGCTGCGGCCTGGGCCAGAGAGAGCTGCCTCCGTCAGGCGGCGGCGCGAGAGCGCGAAGATAACCGCGCTTCGTGAAGCCCGATGCGAGGCGACCAGGTGCATAGATTCATTAGGCGGGAGGGGGGGGGACTCGATTCGGTTGATTGGTCGGGACCGCATCGGCCTGTTTTCAGCTCTCGAGGCCAGTCCAGCTGGTCGGGCAGCTGCTCAAAGTCTGGCTTTGGCTGCGGTGATGCTTGTTTCGGGCCCTGGGTGCTCGAACCAGTCCTGGCGGCTCAAGCTGGCCCTGACCCTCCCTGGGTGGTGCCGGCTGCGCACCTGCCGCCACCTCTGCCAGCTCTTGAGAGGTCAAAAAATCAGGAGGGAAAAAAACACACAGACACAATTAATTTGCGATTCCCAGAAAGTATGGGAAAATATGGGAAGTGGGGGGGAAGACAAAAACCCAGAAAATATGGGAAAATATGGGGAATCATTTTATTTGTGTGTATTTATTTGTGTGTCCCAGTTTCCCTTCAAAAAAGTGGTGCCCTGCGCAGATCCAAACTAGACCTCGCCCTCCCTGGATGGTGCCGGCTGTGAAACTGCCGCCACCTTCGCGAGCCCTCAGGAGCTCCGGCGCAGTGGGGTCTTACTGGCATCCTCCTCGCCCTGGGTGGTGTCAACTGCACAGCGGTCGTAACGATCGTGGACTTGCGAGAGGTCCAGCGGACTGCGGTCCTATACAGATCCACTACACCGGTCCCAGGGCACTGCCACCTGCACAACGCACTCCGTATTCGTCAGAGTGTGAGAGGGCCACCGGAGCGTGGCCCTAAGAGTAGATGCGCATCCAAAACAGAGCATGATCTGTATGGAATGATGGTAGCCACGCAACCTCATTATTCTGTTCCTTGGGCGTTGCCTCGCATCGGTTCCATGAGGCGTGCAATACGTAAGCCCCCTACGGAGCTTTCACAGAGGACCGCCTCCCTTGCCATACCATGATCGGCACAGTGCGGGCCCAATTGGGTACGCCACAGGGTAATGTAGTTTCAGGGAGGCAAAGGAAGTCTCACGCGAAACGCCCGGGCCAGCCTGCGGACACGTCCGGTGGTGCCACAGGGGTGAGGTGGAAGAAGAGGGATGGAGCGGGGAGCAGTAGGAGGAAGCAGACAGAGGACGGCGGAGGGAGGAGAGCGAGGAGAAAGGGGGGAGGAGGGAGAAGGAAGAAGAAGGAGGAGGAGGAGGAGGAGAAAGGAGGGAGGAGACGCCAGCAGAAGGATGCGTCCAAGTTGCCCGAACACGTGCTCAACCCAGGCTCAACGCAGCCTGGGCCCAGGACCCCGCAGCCACTGCCCTCCGTAGCCGTTGTGGCTCAAGCAATTTTGCCCCAAGCAGTTCTGCTCACGCCGGCCGTGAGCTGCTGCCCCGCCGCGCCGCCGGCAGTCGGGCGTTCCTGCCCATTTTCTCCGTCCCCTGGGCGTCTGCTACGCCCACCGGCAGCCAGAAGGCATGCAGGGGCCCGTCGCCCCCGTCGCGGCCCGGGCGCTCGTGGCCCCGCCCCCGAGCCCCGGCGTGGGCTCGCTGCGGGGTGCCCCCGCGGGGCCGCAGGGCAGCGGCGCCGCCGAGGGCGCGGCTTGGCCGGCCGCGTGCGCGGGCGTGGGCGGGGTGCTCGTCGGCGCCGCCGGCGCCCGCCGCGCCGCCCGCCGGGAGAGGAAGGCGGCCCGGCGGGTGGCCACCCTGGACGCCAAGGTGGCGGAGGACGCCGGCAGCGACGAGATGGCGGGGCTCGGCGGCTTCGGCGGCTACACCAGCGCCAACACCGCCGCGCGCCGCGTCGAGCTCACCGAGGAGCAGAGGGGCGGGCGGGACCGCGTGAAGATCGTCTACGTCGTCCTGGAGTCGCAGTACCAGGCGTCCATGACCGCCGCGGTGCGCCAGATCAACAAGACCAACAAGGGCGTGTGCGCGGAGTGTGTGGGCTATCTCCTGGAAGAGATCCGTGACCCCAGCGTGCAGGAGGAGCTGCAGAAGGACCTCGAGAGCGCCAACGTCTTCGTGTGCTCGCTCATCTTCGTGCAGGAGCTCGCCGAGAAGCTGGTCGAGATCGTGCAGCCGCACCGCGATCGCCTGGACGCGTGCCTGTGCTTCCCGTCCATGCCAGAGGTGATGAAGCTCAACAAGCTCGGCACGTTCGACCTCACCGCCATCACCGGCGGGCCGCTGGGCGGCTTCGCGCAGCAGGTGAAGGATCTCCGCCAGAAGAGCCTCCAGAAGGGCAAGCCGTCTCCTTCCGGGGGGGCCTTCCAGGACAGCCTCCTGAAGCTTGTGAGGACGCTGCCCAAGGTGCTGAAGTTCCTCCCCGGGGACCAGGCGAAGGATGCCCGCACTTTCGTCGTGTCCCTGCAGCATTGGCTCGGCGGCACCTCCGAGAATCTGGAGGCGATGCTGTTGCGGATATCGGCCGGGTACGTCGAGGGCGTCCGCCCAGGCCTCATCGACGAGGAGACGCTGATGGACCCCGTGGTGCTCCCTGACCAGGGCATCTGGCACCCGCTGGCGCCAGAGATCTTCCAGACCATGGGTGAGTACAAGGAGTGGTACAACGGCGTCCACCTCCCTCTCACCGACATCCCTGGTGACGCGCCCCTGGTGGGCGTCATCCTTCAGAAGTCGCACATCGCCACCCAGGACGACGGGCACTACGTCGCGATGGTCCAGGAGATCGAGCGCCGCGGCGCGCGCATCGCCTGCGTGTACACCGGCGGCCTGGACTTCTCGCAGCCCGTGAAGGACTACCTGCTCGACCCGATGACCTTCGAGGGGGCCTGCGACGTGCTCGTGAACCTCACCGGCTTCAGCCTGGTGGGCGGGCCCGCCTCGCAGGACGCCGCGAAGGCGAAGGAAGGAGTGCCCAAGCGCACCGGCGGCACTGATCCCACCCCCGGGCCCAGTTGGGGCATGCTCGGGACCCCGAGCGCCAGGTCGCCCGCGAGGGCGCGGAGAAAGATACTCGCGCTCCGCGCATCGTGGCCTGGTCCAGAGAGCTGCTCTTCTCCAAGGTGGCCCGGCGAGGGCGCGAGGGCGATGGCGCGTCGCGCACCGCGGGGCGCAATGCGCGAAGCTCGCGGCGCCCTGTGGGTGCCAGTGTGTGCTCTTGGCGGCCCGCTCAGGTGCTGATGCAGGTCAACCGCCCGTACCTCGTCAGCGTGCCGCTGGTGTTCCAGTCGTTCACGGAGTGGCAGAACAGCCAGCTGGGGCTGCACCCCGTCCAGGTGGCGCTGCAGGTGGCGCTCCCAGAGATCGACGGCGCGATCGAGCCCCTGATCTTCTCTGGCCGCGACGGCACGAGCGGGCGCTCGATCCCCATGCCCGACCGCATCGACGCCCTGGCGACGCGCGCCCTGAACTGGGCCAGGCTGCGCAAGAAGGAGAACCGGGACAAGAAGGTGGCGATCAATCTCTTCCAGTTCCCACCCGACAAGGGCAACGTCGGCACTGCGGCGTACTTGGATGTGTTCGGGAGTATCTTCTCGGTGCTGAAGGAGCTGAAGCAGAAGGGGTACACCATCGAGGAGCTCCCCGACGACGTCGAGGGCCTGCAGAAGTCCATTCTGGAGGACCCGCTGCAGGAGTACTCGATGGCCGACCTCCACGTCGAGTACAAGATGAGCTGCGACGAGTACGAGAGCCTCTGCCCATTCAGCAGGGACCTCTACGAGAACTGGGGCCCACCCCCGGGCACCCTCAACACGGACGGCAAGGACCTGCTGGTGTACGGCAAGCGCTTCGGCAACGTCTTCCTGGGCGTGCAGCCCACGTTTGGCTACGAGGGGGATCCGATGCGGCTGCTCTTCGCCAAGTCCGCCTCGCCGCATCACGGCTTCGCGGCGTTCTACACGTACCTGGAGTTCGTCTTCAAGGCAGACGTGCTGCTCCACTTTGGCACCCACGGCTCCCTGGAGTTCATGCCCGGGAAGCAGGTGGGCATGTCGGGCTCGTGCTACCCAGATCGCTTGGTCTCCGTGCTGCCGAACTTGTACTACTACGCCGCGAACAACCCCTCCGAGGCCACCATCGCAAAGCGCCGCTCCTACGCCTCCACCATCTCCTACCTCACCCCGCCGGCAGACAACGCGGGCCTGTACAAGGGCCTGCAGGAGCTCAGCGAGCTCGTGAAGTCCTACCAAGGCCTTCGGGATAACGAGCAGCGCGGTGCTTCTATCGTCGCTTCCATCGTCGCGACGGCCAGGACATGCAACCTTGACAAGGACATTGAGGACCTGCCTTCCGAGGAGGACGATATGAAGGCCTTGTCTATCGAGTCCCGCGACTTGGTCGTCGGCAAGGTGTACCGCCGCCTGATGGAGATCGAATCGCGCGCGCTGCCGATGGGGCTGCACCGCATCGGCGTGCCGCCCACCGCAGAGGAGAGCGTGGCAACCCTCGTGAACATTGCACAGCTGGACCGCCCGGACAGCAACCCACCGGTCAAGAGCTTGCCGCGCATTCTCGCCGAGTCCGTGGGCATGGACGTCGAGACGGTCTACCGGAACTCCGACTCTGGCGTCTTCGAGGACGTCACCAGGCTGCAGCAGATCGTCGAGGCGAGCCGGGCTGCGGTACGGTCGCTGGTCAGAGAGTCAACCAATTCGGAGGGCCGCGTGGAGAAGCCCAACCCCATACTGCGCGACGTCTTCAATTTCTTCGGAGGTGGTTCTCCATGGAAGAAGGCGGCGGCCGAGGCGGGCTTCCCCGATGCCCGCGAGGAGGACCTGAAGCCGCTCTTCGAGTATCTGCAGGCGTGCTTGGTTCAGGTGGTCTGCAACAACGAGCTGCCTGGCCTCCTCAACGGCCTCGACGGCAAGTTCATCGAGCCCGGCCCTGGCGGCGACCCCATCAGGAACCCGGACGTGCTGCCCACCGGCAAGAACATGCACGCGCTGGACCCCCAGTCGATCCCCACCAAGGCGGCTGCGGACGTGGGCCTGGTCGTGGTGAATCGCCTGCTCGAGGGGCTCGAGAAGCAGGGCCAGTTCCCCGAGTCCATCGCCTTCACGCTGTGGGGCACCGACAACATCAAGACGTACGGCGAGAGCCTCGCGCAGGTGCTGGCGCTGGTCGGTACCAGGCCGGTGCCCGACAGCCTGGGTCGCGTGAACAAGGTGGAGCTCATCCCGCTCGAAGAGCTGGGCCGCCCTCGCATCGACGTGGTGTGCAACTGCTCGGGGGTCTTCCGAGACCTCTTCATCAACCAGATGAACCTGCTGGACCGCGCTATCAAGATGGCGGCCGAGGCCGACGAGCCCATCGAGCAGAACTTCGTGCGCAAGCACGCGCTGGAGCAGGCAGAGGAGCTGGGCATCTCGCTGCGCCAGGCCGCCACCCGCGTCTTCTCCAACGCGGCCGGCTCCTACTCGGCGAACGTGGGCATTGCTGTGGAGAACGGCGGCAACATCGACGAGTCGCAGCTCCAGGAACAGTTCCTGACCCGGAAGGGTTTCGCCCTCAGCGCCGACGCACCGGGGGAGTTGACGGAGTCCACGGAGCTGTTCAAGTCCTCCCTGAAGAGGGTTGACATCACTTTCCAGAACTTGGACAGCAGCGAGATCTCTCTGACGGACGTGTCCCATTACTTCGACAACGATCCGACCAAGGTGGTCCAGAACCTCCGTGACGATGGCAAGAAGCCGGGCGCTTTCATCGCTGACACCACCACTGCCAACTCGCAGGTGCGCTCGCTGTCCGCGCAGGTGCGCCTGGACTCGCGCACGAAGCTGCTGAATCCGAAGTTCTACGAGGCGGCCCTCAAGAGCGGGTACGAAGGCGTGCGGGAGATTACCAAGCGTCTGCGCTACACGTACGGCTGGAGCACCACGGCCGGCGCCGTGGACAATTTCGTGTACGAGGACGCCAACGAGACCTACATCACAGACGAGAGCATTCGGCAGCGGATGATGGACAAGAATCCGGAGGCACTGCGCGAGATGATCACCACCTTCCTGGAGGCGAACCAGAAGGGGTACTGGGAGACCAGCGAGGAGAACCTGGAGCGCCTGCAGCAGGTGTACCAGGAGTGCGAGGACAAGATCGAGGGCGTCGACTTCACCATGCCTGCATGAGCTCCCGCGGCACCTCGGTGACTCCCCAGAGCGCCCGGCCCGCCCGTGCTGCGCACCATCGCCAGCAGGTGTCTGGCCCACCTCCTGGTGGAAGACGCGGGCGACGCGGACCGTCACGCAGCGTCGTCAAGGTTGTGAGTGGCCTCGCTCGTTGGGAGGCCAGCCGCTGCTGGACGCCCGCGCCCGCTGACGCCCCTGGGGTGGAAGCAATTTTAAGTGCAGTTTGCTCTTCTCGGAGGAGGGCTAGTCAGGACAACGGTAGTTCGCCTTCGCGGGGCCCCTTCGTCGCCAGGGCTGGACGCAGCTCGGAAAGTTGGTGCGTTTGCACCCAAGGAGGGGTCCGGGGATCGATTCTTATTTGCCGTTATCTCAGCTCGCCGTTTCCCGATCTTCTGCCGCGGCATTCCCTGGCGTTTTTGCGCCCTCTTGAGCCTCGCGGAGGCTGCTCGTCGCCAAGGCTGGACCCCGCCTAGAAAAACGGTTCAGGATGACCCCAGGAGGAAGGAGGGAGGAGGAGGAGGAGGAGGAGGAGGGGGAGGGGGAGGAGGAGGAGGAGGAGGAGGAGGAGGAGGAGGAGGAGGAGGAGGGAGGGGGAGGGGGAGGGGGAGTATGAGTATGAGTATGACCATGTGACAGAGTCAACTGTGCCAACATTACGTGACGAATTACACATGAAGGCATGACTATACACGACCACGGCTCTGCTTCTCCCGTGCAATTAAAACCTTAGGCCATAAACCACGCGAAATCCTATCGAGATATACAGCTCGATGTGTGGTGACACGCTTGGTACAGACCTTGCCAAGTTCACGTAGGACCTCGGAGGCAAAATAACCGCACAACTTACAATACCAGAGCTTAAGATGTGAATGACACTGCATGGCATGAGATTGATCCACCCACCCCCCCGCTATGTGCAGACGTGCCAGGGGGGGCTTATAAAGGATGGACCCATTATAGTTGACGGGCTGGAAACATTCTGACTGGCGCCACTTTGTTGCTGCAGCCCTGCTGGCCGACCCTCCACAACAAGTGCACCTCCTCCCACTCTCATCGAGAGCGTGAGAGGTAGAGAAGAGGGAGAGGGCAGCAGCAGAAGGAGGACGGGGGACGGAGGAGGATGATGCTTTTTCCTGAGCGCCAGGGGCCGCATCGGCCTCCATCGCGTCGATCGTCGCCCTCAGCAGGCGCAGACGCACAAGCCTCGCTCTCCGCTCGTGGATGAGAATACGTTGGCGCAGAGACTCTGGCAAGCGAGCAGCGTTGGCCGCAGCTCCTGCCACAACATCAACAATCGTGTTGCCAGTGACCGCCCATCTCGGAGCGGCTCCAGCCTGGATCTCCGCACCCCCGAGGTGGGCGTGCACGACAATCAAAGATACTGAGTTGAAACCACGATCCTGCATGAGTTGTCCGAGCTGGGCACATAGGTCCGCATCAGGCCCGCTCGGATACTCGAAGCGTCTGGCATACCAGCCTTTGATGACTGGCTCACAATCTGTTACATAAGTGATCAAGCCGCTCGTAGCCCAAACAGCTAGAAGCAGGCTCCTTAGCTCTCCGCGGGGAACAGCCTGCCTGTCGCCGCAGAGTGGCCCACTCTGATGGTCCCTGCAATGGACAGTGTGGGCTCCAGCTCGTGGAAAAGTGCGATGGCACATCCAACACGGCGAAACTTGGTGACAACAGTGTCGGGGCCGCCGCTGGCGTCGCCAAAGAGCAGCAACGGAGCCTGGCCCGTGCCATGTCCGAGGCATCCTGGGCCTAGCTCAAAAGGACCTGTCACTACCCAGGTCTCGGCGTGGGCAGGAGGCGGGACAGCCACCCCTGGGGCAGGCAGCAGTCCCCTTAGCCAAAAGGCTGGCTCTGCCTCCGCTTGCACCGTGGCCTGATACACTAGATCCTCTGTCATGGTGTACGCCTCCTTATTGGTGTTATAACTGCACGTCCAACTGCGATGAAGAGGCGTCTCAGGCTCAAGCTGGCAACGAGGGCACTTGTCAGTGCCAGCAAAACGTGGGACCTCTGCCTTCTGCCTTGCACGCGTCCACGTGCTGCCAACTGCGATCGACAACATAACTTCACTGAGCCGATGGCCAATCTGTGGGACATCATGTGAATGCTGAATCAAAACACGATAGGAGTCGACATCAGATCCGTCCTGCAAGCCTTCACCACAATAGTGCTGATTAGCCTGTTGCCAATGCCGTCGCTGCAGCACATCCGAAAAAATATTTGAGGAAGCCTGCATGACTGTCCAGGGCCTTCACCCCAGTATACATCGCATCATCAAATCTCCACTCATCACCTGCAAACTCGTGGGGTTCTGGGATACCCCACCCCGTGGCCGAGGACACAGACCATCCCGACTCGATAAGATGTAGAATAGCTGCTGACACTGGTCCTCGGACATACTTGGTGCGGTGCCGTTCTGGGACTCCTCGAAGCTGCTGCACAACTGCCTGCCAAATACGAGACCCCTGACCGCACATCAGGATGGTTACGCCAAATGGATAGATACATGTCTAGGCACTGCACTGGGAGCTTGACGCCTGGATCCTGCTGCGGCGCCCGGATCGCCAACAGCGTTGTCAGGCACCTGCCCCGCGTCGGCGCCGCGCACGCAAGCCCCAGCCGTCGCCGCGCCTGCACCAGCCTCTGGCCGAAGGGCCCGTGCACCTGGAAGCCGTAGGTGCCCGCAGCCTGCGCGCCCTGGAGCTACAGGCGGCGCGTTGCCTTGTAGCGACGCGCCGCCTTGGCGAACCCCCCGGTATTCAAACTCATGCCCTTGTGCTTAGCGTCCTTCTTGTTGCGCGTGGAGCGTGCAGCTCGAACTCCGCAACTGAGGTCCACTCCAAGTAAGCTCGCCTGAGACTGAGCCGTGATGTGGTACCCCGCCTGTCGAACAACACGAGCCGCCCATCTCGCATCAGCAACATCAGTACACATGACCACCGACTTCGGGGACAACCGCAGCTTGCTGGCCTCCAGGGACCTGCACGTGTCCAAGATGCAGGCCTTCAGCCCGCGACGAACGCGTGCACGTGATCCTCGAATCTATTGTGAAAGGTAGTCGATCCACACTCGATGGCTCGCCAACGGATGGTCCTCGACAGCCCGCTTCAGCACGAAATGAGCCAGTGTCCGACCGAATCTAGTGACCGACTGCAGCCTTTGGACAATGCTGCGCGTGGGCTGAAATGGGGCGGATGTCGCCCCCAAATGACTGAGCGCCCGTGGCGACACGCACTGGAGAAGCTCCATGTATAAAATCACGGGTGGAAGCTGCATCCCCAGCGCGGGCTCAACTAAATTTGGCCGCTCGATCGAGTCGTAGAAGCCATCGATGTCAACTAAGCCATGGCCCACATGAACGTTCAAGTGGGCACATACCCCCTCCTGAATAGCGCGGAGGTGCGCTTCTCTCACACTGGAATTGCCACGCACCGCAGCGCCCCAACGTTCCTCTGTCTCAGTCGACCACCCTCGCACCAGCGGTTCCCTGATCAAGGGCCAGAGGCGGCCGAGAAGCGGAACCAGTCCGATGATCCGATATCCTTGCACTTTCTTGGGGAACATCCTCCCCAAGATCAAAAGAAGTTGGCCAGGCCATCGCAAACAAGACTCACGCGTTGCGAAGAGCAGCGCGAGTTCAGCAAGTGTTGTGTCTGGCAACCTCTCTAGATCAACTGGCGATGAGAAATCGACCCCCTGTCCTGTGGATGCCTTCATCTGCTTCAGCGCCGCCCTGGTGTCACGCGCACTGATAGGCTCCAGTGGGTCACCTTCCACAGCGTCCTCAACCTTCTGGAAACTTTTTCTGACCATGGCCTCGTCGAGTGGGGCGGGCGCCCACTTGTCGTGCCACTTGGTCGATTTGGCTTCGATGATGTCACGAGGGTGGCGAAGAATCTGGCCCTGATGCTCGTACTCAAGATCCACCAGAGGCGTAGGACACAGAGATCGATGTAATATCCCCAACGACTTCCCGTCAGTCACAAGCTTCTGAAACTCACACAAGGACTGCTGGATGGCTCTCCTGTGGGCCCGACTGCAGATCTGTTTAGCTCCATGTGCGAGGCCCTCCAGCTTGCACACGGAGCACGCACCAATACTTGAAAGAGCAGCTTGCCACTCATGCCACTCGATATCTTTGCCTGGTAAAAGAACAGTATGTGCACGCTCAGGACATGTCTCAACGTGCCTCTTGACCGATTCACGATAACGTCGTTGCTGGGCCTCTCCGTTGTTCTCCCGACGGTGATGCGCCAGCGCACACAGTAGTGCGTGTAGTTGCGTCCACCAACCACTCAGCCGATCGCGCAGGGGCGAAGCACGGCTCTTGACTGGCACCTTCAGCTCCTGCACCACGAAATGCACTCCTGCTGATCTGGGAGGCCCAGCGGGCAGCGAGACAGCATGGTGACTGGCAATCGTGGGCTCGACAGAAGACACCCAACTGGCGTAGAGGCCTGAAACTAGAGACAACTGTGCGGGTTTTAGCCTAAATGCTACGGAGGAACGCAGGGCAGGGCAAAGAGGGTCAAGGGACGGAGAGCCAGACATAAAACCTACCTCCTGACGGACTCGCTCCCACGTGGCCTCAGGAATGTGGAAGGTTGGAATATTCTGGTCAGAACTCGACCCGTGCTCGGGGGAAACCTGCTGCTGCACGCGACTGTCGGCCGTCTCCGAGCTACGTGCAGCTCCAGAGCGCCCATCCGATGCCTTTGAGGCCTCGGGCCGAATTGGGTGCTGGGAGCCGAGGATCTCGTCAGTCGGCAGACGGCCACCCAACAGAGCGCCCCTAGGAGGCAGACCAGGGAGAGGGCCAGAGGAGGCCCCCTCGACCCCAGGGCCCTGAACCCCAGGACCACCTGGACCCCCAGCGTGAGAAAAACCTTCAGGAAGGGCCGCGTTGAGGCCAGAATCGGGGCAAAAGTTGAGCTCCTGAGCCCACGGATCCTCCTCACCCTGCAGCCCTTCAAACAACTCAAACCCAAACTCACGCTCATCAAAATCTACAGCACCAGCCTCAGCAGAGGTGGGCTCACCCCTCGAGCTCACCTCTGCTGGCCGTTCCCTTTGAGTTTGAACACAATCCCCATACAAGGTGCGAAACCTTTCATTTCTAGAAGCCACTGCTACTTGCTGCTGCACCACCCTACGCGCACGTGCAACACTTGATTTCGAACCAGGAGTGGGCATACACGACGGGCGCGGAACCTGGGGCA